TCTGGGAGTTGAAGTCCACTCATCTTAAAGTGGCCAAGTTTGGACAACACTGGTCTAATGAATGGTCTGAAGGCACACAGTGCAGTATTCCAATAGGAAATAAACTGCAAGAACACTTAGTGGGGCAGGCATGATGTAACTGTATGCTTCTGCACTGTTTGAAGGTTTTCTGCTTGTAAGATTAAAAATCTTACTGTTCCTGTAGCTGATCTCCTTCCTCAAGATTTCTGAGCTTGAGGCAGTAGAATGAGCTTTTAAAGTCAAGGAAAATTATTTCAACTTTTGGCTATTTAATGAAATAAAGATTACTGAGCAATGGGCACATATAAGGACTTTCTAACTTTGCCTTCTCCATGCTTGCAGACTTTCTACTCAGCCATTGTTGATTTATGCGATAATGGTGGAAAGCGCCCCGCCACCAGCACAAGCAACAATTTCACTAAAGAACAAGTAGACACCATCCGGAGGATTCGCAGCAGCAAGGATAGCTGGGATATGTTGGGTGTCAAACCAGGGGCTACAAGGTAATGATGAACCCACCCATTAGAGAATAAATAATCTCTGCTGGCATAGAAATGAGCAAGGGAGATTTGGAGTAGAAGAAATGGAATGGGTGTGGTGAAGCCCTGAATTTAGGAAATATGGGAAGATATTGTACTAATTTATGGTAAATGTTTGTGTATAGAGTAGGAGATGTTTGGCCAATATATAATGTCTGTCTTCACAACAACCAGCTCTTTACCCTAGCCCCCATTTTCCCCCCTCTGGCTCCTAATGGATGTAAGTGCTCGAGTGCCCATTGGCAACATCACTTAGTCTTTGCTCATGATCCAGCCCTTTCTTGTGAACTGGGAATGGAGGGAGTACTATTTATGACAAGGAGTGCCTTCTACAACTATGGTTATTCTGTGTCTGGAGTTAAAAGCCTGGAGCAATGCAGGAGATGAACCTATCATGGACCTTCAAGTTCTGAGTATAATTATAATAGAATTTTATTTTTCATTTGGTTAACCAAAATGAATAATAACTGTAATTTTTTGTTTGTATCATTGTAGGTAAACTTCAGTAGTTGAAAGATCCTTCATTTTAAGATTAATCACCCTATGAATAGACTCAGTTACATTGCACTCTTCTATTATTTCTATCTGTCTTACTCTGCAGGGATGAAGTAAACAAGGCCTATCGGAAGTTGGCAGTGCTCCTCCACCCAGATAAGTGTATGGCTCCAGGCAGTGAGGATGCCTTCAAAGCTGTGGTCAATGCACGGACTGCCTTGCTTAAAAACATCAAGTAAAACACAAGAAGGTGCAACTTTCAGCAATAGCAAGTGATCAAAGCTATTCTGAGAGAGCTGGTACTGAGAGAGGCATTAATAATTGCCTCCTGCAAAGGACAATGGAAGCAAATCACAGAGAATCCCGAAAGGCAATTCTCTTTCACCATTTACTCTCAAAACTATTTTCTGTACTACTACAAATAGCTCGATACAGGAGGCTTCTCTGAGGTGGACTTCCAAACCCATCTGAATGCCTCAGGAACAGGAACAGCAGTAATATCCTGTCCTTTCTTTTCCCCTGCAGAAAAGTTGGCCTTGGACTGAGATGACTCTAAAATAGATTTCTTCTATATAGAATTACTTGTTTCAATATTCTTCATTATTTTCTCAAGATGGATGCTGATATTCAGTCTCTAATTAAGCATTTAGTTGTTCCTCTTTGTCCTACACTGGAATTTGCTTTTTCCATTCAAATGTTTCAAACCATTTCCTTATTAAGTGGTTAAAGAATCCCTGCTTTTTCCAATAGAAGTTGGAAAAATCAAGCATGGTGGCTGGGATCAGAGCAATAGTAACCACTGTGAGTTGTTGAGGGGACAGACAATACCTCCTACAGAATGCATTAGGTGGTAGGTTTACTCATTATTTGAGTCATATTGTTGTAGGAGTGTTTACTTTGTGTATACTTTGAACCTCCCTGGAGCTAGCAAGGAACATAACCCTCACCATATGAGGGATTCAATCACACATAAGCTGATTTCTTAGTTTGTTCTCCCTTCCCCCCCCCAAATCCAAATTAAATGAGGGAAGAAAGGAAGGGAGGAAGAAGGAGCTAACTGTATGTATTCAACAATGATTAAAAGGCCCCTGAACTGAAAGAAACAGGGTAAAACAAAATCAGTGGCTACCTTTTGATTTCATGACTAGTACTAACATTTTATTTATTTATTTGGCTTATATGCCACTGTGATTTTCCTATTAAGTTTTAAGTAAACTTAAAAACATACAAATACTTCCCCACCAAGGAATAATACAAAAACTCCATATAAATAACACCCCCTCAACTACAAGAGGGAACAACGTTCATAACATTTTCATCTGCAAGATCTCTTGGAAAAGCCAAGTTTCAATAGTTTTTTCTAAAATCCAGCAGGGTTGGAGCTACTGTATATGGACATTAAGTTGGGGGTTTGTGAGGTGTGATGTTATTCCAAAGAAAGAAAGGAAGAAAACTTCAGTTGTATTGATCAAGTGTTTCTTGGATATTTTGTTGAAAGAGTATTCAGGCAAAAGAATAAATATTAGGCAATACTTTCAACTCTTTTCTGGAATTGGTGCCTGGCCTGCAGGTCATTCTTCAGCTGCCTATAATTCAGCCTCTGTTAAAGAATAGATTTTCTCCAAACTGATCTAATTTAGAATATAAAATTTGAAATTATTACTGTTCTAAGGATTACAGCAGATTATCTAGCAAAAGAGAATGCCTTATGAACAAGTGGGTGAGTTGCCAAAAAATCCCTCTTCCTGAGTTTAGGGAGAGTGAATAGCAGACCCAAATTTTGAAGATTTTAAGCTTCATTAAGCTAAAATTTAAGAACATTTGGAGAACAACTCTTTTAAACATAATGCATTAATAAATATGGGTGCGATTATGTTTCAGTCATTTAGCTGATTTTTCCAGTGGTCAAATGTAATGGTAGCAGTTGTAATGTGTTATCACACTTTACCTTCCTTCTACTTCCCATTCTTTGCTATTTAGAACATCTTAAAATAATACAACAGGAAGTTAAGGAATGGCAGTGTGAACCTCTGCCTTGATTACTATCTGATTATGTTTCTCCAGTTGCCTGTGGAGGGCCAAAGGCATTGGCAACTGTATTATATATTGTATATTGGAAGGAATGAGAATGATACTCCTTTGGGAGTGCATTGGGGGCAGCAGTTGTGCCTGCAAGTACATGCTAATTGAGAAAATAACCATAAGCTCACCAAAAGGTTCCAGCTGGGAGGGTTTTGAGAGTCTTCCTCCACATGCCGCCTTCTGAGGGTTCTTTGAACCAAGGAAAGAGGTGGTGGTCTCAGGATGAACATAGACAAGTCCTGCAAGACTGCCTCATCAGACAAGCCTTGCTTGTGTGAAAGCTATCTAGCTCTTGATCAAAATACAGAAGGAGAAAGGCTCTTACAGCCAAAATAAAAGTATACCCTGCTGTGTATGAATATAAAATAATATACATTGCTCTGTGTGTGTGTGCATGTGCAGACACTTTAAGCCTTAGTTGTTTTGAGCTGATAGATTTCTGTGAATTTCTCCAATAATGTTCCTTCATCTCCTGTCTCCTTTAGAAGTGATGTTTAGTCTTCTGGTTGCTGTGAATGCTTTATAATGTGAAATTCCTATATATTCTGTATATTCATACAATTGCACTTTTCTACCTTCTGGTTTGGGTATAATGTTTTGCATCATTAATGTCCAACTGTGCCCTCTTGTACCAAGATGCAACTCTTGATAAGCTCTTGACTCTTGAAATTCCGTATCTGGTTCTCCACCCTACTCTGCTTGTAGCTTATTGCTCCTAACAGTTTAGATATATAAGAAGCTACAGCCTTTTCTGGTAACTTCAGAAAGAAAATGGTCACATAACTTAGGACTCCTCTTTTTTCTGTTGTAAACACAGGTTTCCTTCAAAGAATAGGTATCCTAGGGAATGAAGTTTGAGAAGTTGCTCACCTCTCTTTACAAGACTATTTAATCCCCCCCCCCTCCCCGTGCTCTTATGCCAACTGGAAAAGGACTAGCCCAGAAGGGTTAAAAAAGTAAATAATTGCACAATTAGGAATTTGTAAGATTGCTGCTAATGTAATTATACTGCATTATCTTCATTTTATAATAGGTACCATCATTTACATTAATTGTCAAATTACATCATTTCCAATTTGGCAGGTATGTGTGTGAAGAGCTCAAAGCCTTTGAAGAAAACGCTCTCTCACTCTCAAGACAAACATTGTGGAAAGTTCTTTGTAACATGAACCCTCTCTATTAATATAGCAAAATGCCATCTTAACTGAAGCAGAGGGCCATACTTAGGGATCGGAACATCAAATATTGGAAAGGTAACATAGTTTGCTCAGATCCTGTCCTGAAAGTTTGTCTGGGCAGCAGCTTGTTGTAATTCATGGTGTGATGAAGGCGCAATAAGCAAGGCACATGGAAAGCAACATTTTGCCAAAGTTGTTATCCTCCTGGGCATGCCTCCTTTAATTGCAAAATCTTTCACATTTTCCTTTCATGAGATTTGGATGGAAGGAAGGAGAGTATAAATGGCTTAGGGAACAAATGACTCTGCATTCCGACTTCTCAGCTAAGCATTTTTTCCCTTCATGCAACATTTCTTTGCAAAATATTGTCTCCTAATGCAGGCACTGCTTCTGAAAAAATGGAGTTAATACAACTGAAGGTAGTTAAGCTCCAAGTCATAATAGCAGGGATTTTTTTCCTGATTTATTTTCTGCTGTTCAGACTCCTAGCCTTTCTACTGTGGTATATGGATTTGAATGCACTGTATTTATTTGGCAGGTTATCACTTAAATAAAATGCCTGTAGGCATAGATGATCTTTAATGCAAGTTGATAGAAAATGCTGAAATGTCCACTCCTGCATGTTCTTATATCAAAAGCCTTATGTGTTTGAAATCTCTGTATTATTTTAAAAAAAAATCAAATCTACAATACAGTTGTTGCTTATTTTTAAAATATTTCACTGGGACCGAGACCCTTGTATATCTTTCCATCTGTTGGGACTACGGCAGATGCATTAGTTTGGATGAGTGCTAACTTAAAACCATCTATCTGCTTTTACATTTATTTTACAAACGGTATTGAGCTTGGGTGGTTCCTTAAATGAGAATTTGGCTTGCCATCTGCATTTTGTAATTAACTACATGCTTGGCTGAAAAGTCAACAGCATGGTAGCCCTAAGATAAGCACATGATGTGTGATAGGCTGTCTCAAAGATGGCTGGGTTATAGGTCTCTGCAGTGTACATACATCCATTTCTGCCTATTCTGGAACTGTATTAAAAGGAGGACATTTGGTAATCAGTTTAACCAATGAAGGGGGAAGAAAATATTCTAACCCCCTTGTGTGTAAGTCTGCCTTTGTGCTGGAATGCTTTGTGGAGTGCAATATTTTTTTCTCCTAAATTACACTGTTAAAGAAAGCATTTTCTTGGTGGAATAAGGCATACCAAATGTACCGTGGTGACCACTGGGTGCTGCTACAGTCTGAGGCATACAGACATATTCTTGGAAACAGCATTCGCAGCAATGCATTACTCTTGTTAGGAAAGCAGATATTTTCTAAATGCCTTTCATTTTGTGCTGCATTTGAGGACCGCTTTAAAGCATATGATCTATGCCATCTACGATGAAACTTCTAGTGTGCATCATATTGTATTATTCCACTTGGTTCAAGTGGAACAAAGGCTTAGATTGTGCACAGCAATTCTACGATTCATATGCTGTAACAATGGAACTGGCCAATGTTATATTTGTGATTTTGTTTCCTTAGACCCCAGTTTTAGTCCATGACCAGGCTGTAGAAAGCCACTGCAAACGGAAATTGTGGAAACCACTTTCAAATCAGTACAATTGCTATATAAGGCCACTCAGAACTGTAAATTTTGGAAGTGTCCTGACAATTTTCACAATGCTCGCTCCTTCCTTCCTTCCTTCCTTCCTTCCTTCCTTCCTTCCTTCCTTCCTTCCTCTGGTTGTGGGAACATCAGAGTTTGGGGAGGACACCAAGTGAGTTGCCCCTCTGAAAGACAGGATATGACAGCAGTAATTACCAAGCAACTATGTCAAGGTAGGAAGTGGAGCTAGGCGTGCAGCCCCAGAGAATTTTGGGAAAAGGAGGTTGAAGACCATCAACTTTTTACCCTACAAGCTCAGCCATGTCAGGTGTTTAACAGGTGTTTAAACTGTTTCAGTTAAAACAATTGATGGCATAATAGTTTGGCCTTTACTTTCAGCTATATTCCATAGTCTGAATCCTAGAAATTAATCTGTAACACAGAAAATATCCCAACATACTGGTTATATTGAAAGAAAAATGAAAGCAAATAATAAGTGAATTTCAAAGAAGAGAATCATTCAAGTGTTGCACAAACCAACTAAGCATGTTGTTGTTGTTGTTATGCATGTTAACTGGAATTAACTGTTGCTACAAGGACAATATGATATGAATTATCAGGTGAAATAGTTATGGAATACAAAATTTATGACAGTAATTTGATTTTTAATAATTTATTTGACTCCAAATTTCTACCTGTCCACAGTAGTAAAATACAACTCTTTTTAAAAATTCATTTATTAAAAATTTCAAACAATAATATGTAGTATGTTCATACCAACCCCTTATAGGATGTAATTCATTGTATCAGTTGCATGGTCCTTTGCCAGAAGGGTTGCTCAAGAGCAATTAGCAGTTCTTCAAAAAGCTAATTTGATTCTTCAAATAAGCATATATGATGAAAGAGCATCATGTATCAATGAGGGCAAAGCAAGCTAGTTTCTTAGGAAATTCAGTTTCCATTCATATTCTCAGCCAAAACTATTTTCCATAATCTCCCAATCCACTTGCCTGTTGAATGACCCAGGCAGCTTTTCCAGTCTGTTCGTATTTCTTATCTAGTTGCTGCCAGCATGAATTTCACTATAGAGTTGCAAGGTGTTCTCATCCTTAAATATGGAGAGGAGAATTAAGGTACACAGAACTGAATCTGGTACTTGGTCATTTTTAATATAAAGGTTGACATTGATTCCAAAAAAGATGAGTGATTGGGCAGCCTAGGAACATGCAAGGAGATATTCCATTTTCCATAGCCTCTCCAGAAAAGTGGAGATAAGTATTCATTCATCTTGTACACTGTAGATAATATTAAATATATTGAATAAAATTTGATGTGTGTTTGTTTAGTTTGTACAGAAGTGGCTTTTAGCACAGTGGATGTCCATAACTTATCTGAAGCATCTATTGAAATCTCTTTATTCAAGTCAGCTTCCCAAGATTCCAAATATTTATTGAAAAACTAAATCGAATTAATTCAGGAGGGAATTATTCAAAGAGAAATAAATAAGTAAAAGACCTTATAAATAGAACAGAAATCCAAGGAAACAGAAAAATAATCCATCTGCTCAAAATATCATCCAGCCCAAAAGTCTAATTGATGGAGTTCTAGAAGCTAAAAAAAGGAAGATGCTTGAAATGTCCTTTCTGTCAGGGATAATGAAAGTGGCTGCAAACAATCCAACATTTGCCAACAAAAATTATAGAAAAATAAAATGCAAAAGTCCCTACACTCAGATGCCAATTGCTTTTTGATTGACACCGTTTCCTGGCTTCTGACTTATCTTTTTTCCCCCTTTTCCACAAACTAAACATTTGATATACTATATCAAGGGGCACTAACCTGCAAAAACTATTTTCTACTGTTGGGACAAGCACAAATCTTACTTATATCCCAGATAGGGTTGTCTGCAGGAGGGGGCAAACATCTGTGAGGTGGACACAATAGAAGCCCCACTCGTTATATAGATGTGCATACAAAAGGGGTGGGGCATAGACTGGAACACCAAGCCTGCCATCTTGCAGATTTTGACCTACCCAGCAAATGCCCCTGATCCAGTCTGTATGAAGGCCTATGAAAATCATCTATGGCAGCTGCCATTTCAGGAGTTCATATTTCCTATCTTCATTCCATTCTATTCCATTGGGTTTTAGCATACCTGTTTTTTTCCTGCATGTGAGACATTGTGAGATATCTAAACTAGTATCATAGAAGACAGAAGTAAAGTTCTAAACTGCACTGATAGGTTAGAGAAAATTACAGAATGAAATTTAGCAGAGAACACTGTATTCATGTAGGAAATGAAAATCAAGTGAATAGGATAGGAAGTGGAACAGGTGACTTGGTAATAGTACTTATGAAAAAGAACTTGGAATATTAGTCCACTGAAAATGAATATGTGTCATGACAGGAATGTGGCCACAAAAAAGGCAAATGCTGTGATAGGCTGTCCAAAAAATGTATCATTTCTAAATCATGAGAAGTAATAGTTCCAATTTGTTTTGCATTGGTCAGACCCTCACCTCACACACTGTGTCCATATTTAGAAGGATCCAGAGAAACTGGAACAGGTTCAGAAATCAATAGTGAAGAAGGAATTAGGAAAGTTTAGCCTAGAGAACTGAAGTGGGAATATGATGGTATTCTTCAAATATTTGAAAATATGTCATCTCAGATGGTTAAGGCCTATTCTCCATTGCTCCAGAGTGCAAGACACAAAAATAGATTTGTTACAGGATGGCAGATTCAGACTATGTTAGGAAAAAACTTCTCATAGGAAAAGCAGTTCAACAGTAGAACCAGTTATCCAGATAAATGGTGGACTCCCTTCTAGGATATGAAGGCTATAACCCAGATTATCTAAGGTCACATACTAGATCTGGTCTTTGTCTCAGGGCATATAGGGAGTATAGAGGATAACCTTGACAGAGAGAGAGGAGATCCATTACCAAAGCAACAAACAGATAAATGTGGCTTTAGCCCATATAAAGAGAGAAATTTATGAAGATGTCTCAGGCAAGGACCCCCCCCCCCACTCTCAAGAAGATAAAAGAGGGATGAGGGAAGCACATTCAGACTTGCAAGATTCTGTTAATATAGCCATTCTAATAAATGTAGTTTTAGGCCTACATGGTGTCTGTTTCTTGGTCTAGTCTATCTTATAGGGCTGACAGGGCAATAGTGATATGATCTGTATGTGGGAGATGGTCAAATCACTCTGTGAAACTCTCCACAGCAGTCCCCCATTGCAGGGAAATAGGATCCATTTGTTTGGTCTGCCTCTGGTACCTGATGGACCCATTGGCTTTCTGAGGGAACTTGGGGCTGGACCTGGGACTCTGGTGCACAACTCAACTGAGGCCTTAGTTATATAACACTACCCTGGGCTGACCAAATGATGCCATCAGGCTTGTTTTTCAATGTATGGAGGCTGGGTGGGGAGGAATGGGTTTAGGTTCAACCCTAACAAGACCAAGTGGCTGTGAATTTTAGGACTACCCAGATCAGAGAATTGCCATCATTGGTTCTGGATGGGATAGCAACCGGTGCATAACTTTGGGATCTGCCTAGACTCTTAGTTCCTACTGGAAGAACAGGTGGCAATGTCAGGCCTAGCCCAAGGAACTCCAAGAGACAATGCCA